AGGCAGCATAGAGGCAGCATAGAGGCAGCATAGAGGCAGCATAGAGGCAGCATAGAGGCAGCATAGAGGCAGCATAGAGGCAGCATAGAGGCAGCATAGAGGCAGCATAGAGGCAGCATAGAGGCAGCATAGAGGCAGCATAGAGGCAGCATAGAGGCAGCATAGAGGCAGCATAGAGGCAGCATAGAGGCAGCATAGAGGCAGCATAGAGGCAGCATAGAGGCAGCATAGAGGCAGCATAGAGGCAGCATAGAGGCAGCATAGAGGCAGCATAGAGGCAGCATAGAGGCAGCATAGAGGCAGCATAGAGGCAGCATAGAGGCAGCATAGAGGCAGCATAGAGGCAGCATAGAGGCAGCATAGAGGCAGCATAGAGGCAGCATAGAGGCAGCATAGAGGCAGCATAGAGGCAGCATTAGAGGCAGCATAGAGGCCTGCATAGAGGCAGCATAGAGGCAGCATAGAGGCAGCATAGAGGCAGCATAGAGGCAGCATAGAGCAGCATAGAGGCAGCATAGAGGCAGCATAGAGGCAGCATAGAGGCAGCATAGAGGCAGCATAGAGGCAGCATAGAGGCAGCATAGAGGCAGCATAGAGGCAGCATAGAGGCAGCATAGAGGCAGCATAGAGGCAGCATAGAGGCAGCATAGAGGCAGCATAGAGGCAGCATAGAGGCAGCATAGAGGCAGCATAGAGGCAGCATAGAGGCAGCATAGAGGCAGCATAGATGGCAGCATAGAGGCAGGCATAGAGGCAGCATAGAGGCAGCATAGAGGCAGCATAGAGGCAGCATAGAGGCAAGCATAGAGGCAGCATAGAGGCAAGCATAGAGGCAGCATAGAGGCAGCATAGAGGCAGCATAGAGGCAGCATAGAGGCAGCATAGAGGCAGCATAGAGCAGCATAGAGGCAGCATAGAGGCAGCATAGAGGCAGCCATAGAGGCAGCATAGAGGCAGCATAGAGGCAGCATAGAGGCAGCATAGAGGCAGCATAGAGGCAGCATAGAGGCAGCATAGAGGCAGCATAGAGGCAGCATAGAGGCAGCATAGAGGCAGCATAGATGGCAGCATAGAGGCAGCATAGAGGCAGCATAGAGGCAGCATAGAGGCAGCATAGAGGCAGCATAGAGGCAGCATAGAGGCAGCATAGAGGCAGCATAGAGGCAGCATAGAGGCAGCATAGAGGCAGCATAGAGGCAGCATAGAGGCAGCATAGAGGCAGCATAGAGGCAGCATAGAGGCAGCATAGAGGCAGCATAGAGGCAGCATAGAGGCAGCATAGAGGCAGCATAGAGGCAGCATAGAGGCAGCATAGAGGCAGCATAGAGGCAGCATAGAGGCAGCATAGAGGCAGCATAGAGGCAGCATAGAGGCAGCATAGAGGCAGCATAGAGGCAGCATAGAGGCAGCATAAGAGGCAGCATAGAGGCAGCATAGAGGCAGCATAGAGGCAGCATAGAGGCAGCATAGAGGCAGCATAGAGGCAGGCATAGAGGCAGCATAGAGGCAGCATAGAGGCAGCATAGAGGCAGCATAGAGGCAGCATAGAGGCAGCATAGAGGCAGCATAGAGGCAGCATAGAGGCAGCATAGAGGCAGCATAGAGGCAGCATAGAGGCAGCATAGAGGCAGCATAGAGGCAGCATAGAGGCAGCATAGAGGCAGCATAGAGGCAGCATAGAGGCAGCATAGAGGCAGCATAGAGGCAGCATAGAGGCAGCATAGAGGCAGCATAGAGGCAGCATAGAGGCAGCATAGAGGCAGCATAGAGGCAGCATAGAGGCAGCATAGAGGCAGCATAGAGGCAGCATAGAGGCAGCATAGAGGCAGCATAGAGGCAGCATAGAGGCAGCATAGAGGCAGCATAGAGGCAGCATAGAGGCAGCATAGAGGCAGCATAGAGGCAGCATAGAGGCAGCATAGAGGCAGCATAGAGGCAGCATAGAGGCAGCATAGAGGCAGCATAGAGGCAGCATAGAGGCAGCATAGAGGCAGCATAGAGGCAGCATAGAGGCAGCATAGAGGCAGCATAGAGGCAGCATAGAGGCAGCATAGAGGCAGCATAGAGGCAGCATAGAGGCAGCATAGAGGCAGCATAGAGGCAGCATAGAGGCAGCATAGAGGCAGCATAGAGGCAGCATAGAGGCAGCATAGAGGCAGCATAGAGGCAGCATAGAGGCAGCATAGAGGCAGCATAGAGGCAGCATAGAGGCAGCATAGAGGCAGCATAGAGGCAGCATAGAGGCAGCATAGAGGCAGCATAGAGGCAGCATAGAGGCAGCATAGAGGCAGCATAGAGGCAGCATAGAGGCAGCATAGAGGCAGCATAGAGGCAGCATAGAGGCAGCATAGAGGCAGCATAGAGGCAGCATAGAGGCAGCATAGAGGCAGCATAGAGGCAGCATAGAGGCAGCATAGAGGCAGCATAGAGGCAGCATAGAGGCAGCATAGAGGCAGCATAGAGGCAGCATAGAGGCAGCATAGAGGCAGCATAGAGGCAGCATAGAGGCAGCATAGAGGCAGCATAGAGGCAGCATAGAGGCAGCATAGAGGCAGCATAGAGGCAGCATAGAGGCAGCATAGAGGCAGCATAGAGGCAGCATAGAGGCAGCATAGAGGCAGCATAGAGGCAGCATAGAGGCAGCATAGAGGCAGCATAGAGGCAGCATAGAGGCAGCATAGAGGCAGCATAGAGGCAGCATAGAGGCAGCATAGAGGCAGCATAGAGGCAGCATAGAGGCAGCCATAGAGGCAGCATAGAGGCAGCATAGAGGCAGCATAGAGGCAGCATAGAGGCAGCATAGAGGCAGCATAGAGGCAGCATAGAGGCAGCATAGAGGCAGCATAGAGGCAGCATAGAGGCAGCATAGAGGCAGCATAGAGGCAGCATAGAGGCAGCATAGAGGCAGCATAGAGGCAGCATAGAGGCAGCATAGAGGCAGCATAGAGGCCAGCATAGAGGCAGCATAGAGGCAGCATAGAGGCCAGCATAGAGGCAGCATAGAGGGCAGCATAGAGGCAGCATAGAGGCAGCATAGAGGCAGCATAGAGGCAGCATAGAGGCAGCATAGAGGCAGCATAGAGGCAGCATAGAGGCAGCATAGAGGCAGCATAGAGGCAGCATAGAGGCAGCATAGAGGCAGCATAGAGGCAGCATAGAGGCAGCATAGAGGCAGCATAGAGGCAGCATAGAGGCAGCATAGAGGCAGCATAGAGGCAGCATAGAGGCAGCATAGAGGCAGCATAGAGGCAGCATAGAGGCAGCATAGAGGCAGCATAGAGGCAGCATAGAGGCAGCATAGAGGCAGCATAGAGGCAGCATAGAGGCAGCATAGAGGCAGCATAGAGGCAGCATAGAGGCAGCATAGAGGCAGCATAGAGGCAGCATAGAGGCAGCATAGAGGCAGCATAGAGGCAGCATAGAGGCAGCATAGAGGCAGCATAGAGGCAGCATAGAGGCAGCATAGAGGCAGCATAGAGGCAGCATAGAGGCAGCATAGAGGCCAGCATAGAGGCAGCATAGAGGCAGCATAGAGGCAGCATAGAGGCAGCATAGAGGCAGCATAGAGGCAGCATAGAGGCAGCATAGAGGCAGCATAGAGGCAGCATAGAGGCAGCATAGAGGCAGCATAGAGGCAGCATAGAGGCAGCATAGAGGCAGCATAGATGCAGCATAGAGGCAGCATAGAGGCAGCATAGAGGCAGCATAGAGGCAGCATAGAGGCAGCATAGAGGCAGCATAGAGGCAGCATAGAGGCAGCATAGAGGCAGCATAGAGGCAGCATAGAGGCAGCATAGAGGCAGCATAGAGGCAGCATAGAGGCAGCATAGAGGCAGCATAGAGGCAGCATAGAGGCAGCATAGAGGCAGCATAGAGGCAGCATAGAGGCAGCATAGAGGCAGCATAGAGGCAGCATAGAGGCAGCATAGAGGCAGCATAGAGGCAGCATAGAGGCAGCATAGAGGCAGCATAGAGGCAGCATAGAGGCAGCATAGAGGCAGCATAGAGGCAGCATAGAGGCAGCATAGAGGCAGCATAGAGGCAGCATAGAGGCAGCATAGAGGCAGCATAGAGGCAGCATAGAGGCAGCATAGAGGCAGCATAGAGGCAGCATAGAGGCAGCATAGAGGCAGCATAGAGGCAGCATAGAGGCAGCATAGACAGCAGTGGCGGATGCTGTGTTGGTGGACCTGACTGCTCTTTCCTTGCTGCCTCCAGCCGACCCTGTGGGGCAACTGGTGCTCACCAGACAAAGGTACAGAGGGAGGGAGGAATATTGAGAAGATTATTGGGAGGGCTAAGGTAAGAGGGAGGGCATGGGCGGGTGAGTGAGGTGGTGTGGGTGGGCATGAGAGGACAGGCGAGCAGAAGCAGGAGATTTTTTTTAGGCTCCTCAAATGTGGTTATGAGAGGAGATGCGAGCAGGAGCAGGTGGTCTGGCCCGGTTATGCGACGATGATGCTATGCAGGCGATGATGCTGTGCAGGCGATGATGCTGTGCAGGCAATGATGCTGTGCATGCGATGATGCTGTGCAGGCGATGATGCTGTGCAGGCAGATTGGGCTGCTGCTTGAAAGAAGAGTGTTTTTGAGACGTCTCAAAAACACTCTTCTTTCACGTGGCCTGGCTATGCGACGATGATGCTGTGCAGGCGATGATGTTGTGCAGGCAGATTGGACTGCTGCTTGATTTGACTGCTCTCCTCTGGCTCTCCTTTTCCATTATTTACTACCTGTCCCTCTTTCCTTCCCCATTTCCGCATCACCTTTTTTCTCTCTCTTCCCTCCCATCCCACCATCCCCCCCCAACCCAACCCCTCTCCCCACACCTCACACCCTCTCGTGGATTTTATTTCCCAGTTCTGGCATTGCAGGCAACACTGTGCATTCAGTGTAGGTCTCTCTTTCAATCAACCCCCCCCTCCCCCCCCCCCCGCGTCTCTTCCGCTCTCCCCCCACTCCTCCTCCTCCACCTCCCTCTCTCCACTTTTATTACCCAGTTCTGGCATTGCAGGCAACACGGTGCATTCAGTGTGGGTCAATGGGCGGCTTTTGCTCTCAGGTACTCTTGCTGTTATCATTCTTATAGTTTTGAGGCGCCTCAAAACTACTCTTTTTGTTCTCATTCTCACGTGTTTCCACCGGTGCCTCCCGATTATCGAATTTTATCCCATGCATCTTGTGAAGGATTTGTCCTTTTTTTTCTGAGATTGCAGAACAACACCTTACCTTCTCACTAACGTTTATCCCCGTTATTCACATCATCACCTGTTCAGATGGAGTCCCTACAACAGTTGAGTTGCCTTCGCTTCGCGGAGCTTTAATCGAGCAGCAGCCTCAATACATGGATCCACAAATCACAGATGTGAAAGGGAAACCCATTGAGGTAAGTCATTCTAGCATTCTACACCCTTTACATTGTATTACGCCATTAATATGTAGATTCCACCTACGGTATTCTTGCACCATTATTTAATTTTGTTTCTTCTTCTGGTTATCATGGTGCATGACATTTGGATTTCATTGCTTGTATGATGGCACGGGCACTTTTGGTTTGAATCACAATCTTCTGACTTCAGGTGGAGTATCGTGCAGCAATGGGGCTTGACACCCCGCTTGGGAAGCACAGCAAGATCCACACCTCGGATTACCCTAATTATAGGGTCAATTATCATGCTGATATTCCATCCATCTCGAAATCTTGATTGGAATACAACATTTTATACATTATAATGTTGGATGTCAAGAAGTTGTTAAATGAAGGCATAATGCCCTAATTTTACAACATGGGAGTCTGATCATTCAGATGCACTATTGAGGGCTATTGTGCAGAAGTATATGCACTAAACTTCAGGCTTTTCATGATTAGTTATCGTTCTAGCAGTGTAGGTGATGAAGGTACAGCAAGCCGCTTTTGTAAGGGAAAATATGCCACAAGTAACAATCATGTGACCCCGTAACGTCAATGGTAAAAATAAAAAGCGTACGGTAACTGTATCGAGTATCCTGACGGGCTTGGTAAGCGGGGTCACGGAATCGGTCACTAGCAACAGCTAAAGAATCACGCGAATGGTAACACATGAAACCCCCGCCAGAAATTCCTGAAACCAGGCCGATTTCCCGCTCGCGCCAACTCGTGCGGAGAGGTTTGATGCACGCTTGTACCGTCGAGCCTCCAACCCACCGTAACCACACCACGACCCGACGTGCTGTACACCCACCTGCCCGCTACGGTTCCAACCAAGTACAGAACCTTGACCCCATCGCAGCTCTCCAACTTACTTCCCGCCATCAGCTATTCCTCACGCTATTACTAGTAGCTATAGCTTTCGCCAGCTGGCTTCCCGTTCACGCATCCAAGGCGTTCGTTAGCAGCACCTGACGTCTATCAACGGTGCGTGCCTTAGCCCTAAAGCCTTTCCCCATCCATTCACGTTTAGTCCCTTGTTACTCGAAAATTACTACTAATATGAATGAATAAAGTCGATCAGACCGCTGTCGCGATGCGCCCACAAACCGGCGCGCCGAACAGCGCATCGCCCGATGCATCGGGCCCGATCGTCGCGAGATGCATCGCGACGATCAGGAGCAGCCGCCGCCGCGATGCGCATTGCGTCCTGCTTTTGGCCGCTCCGCGCATCGCGCCGACCAGGCCGCCGCCGTCGCAATGCGCAATGCGGCCACCCTGCCGGGCGCATTGCGACGATCCGCCACCGTGATGCGCTAACCCGCCGCTCTCATACGCTCTCATTCCCTCTCACCCACTCTCTTACGCTCTCATTCCCTCTCACCCACTCTCTTACACTCTCATTCCCTCTCACCCACTCTCATACCTCTCATTCCCTCTCACCCACTCTCATACGCTCTCATTCCCTCTCACCCACTCTCATACGCTCTCATTCCCTCTCACCCACTCTCATACGCTCTCATTCCCTCTCACCCACTCTCATACGCTCTCATTCCCTCTCACCCACTCTCATACGCTCTCATTCCCTCTCACCCACTCTCTTACGCTCTCATTCCCTCTCACCCACTCTCATACGCTCTCATTCCCTCTAACCCACTCTCATACGCTCTCATTCCCTCTCACCCACTCTCATACGCTCTCATTCCCTCTCACCCACTCTCATACGCTCTCATTCCCTCTCACCCACTCTCATACGCTCTCATTCCCTCTCACCCACTCTCTCACGCTCTCATTCCCTCTCACCCACTCTCATACGCCCTCATTCCCTCTCACCCACTCTCATACCCTCTCATTCCCTCTCACCCACACTCATACGCTCTCATTCCCTCTCACCCACACTCATACGCTCTCATTCCCTCTCACCCACACTCATACGCTCTCATTCCCTCTCACCCACTCTCATACGCTCTCATTCCCTCTCACCCACTCTCATACGCTCTCATTCCCTCTCACCCACTCTCATACGCTCTCATTCCCTCTCACCCACTCTCATACGCTCTCATTCCCTCTCACCCACTCTCATACGCTCTCATTCCCTCTCACCCACTCTCTCACGCTCTCATTCCCTCTCACCCACTCTCATACCCTCTCATTCCCTCTCACCCACACTCATACGCTCTCATTCCCTCTCACCCACACTCATACGCTCTTATTCCCTCTCACCCACTCTCACACGCTCTCATTCCCTCTAACCCACTCTCATACGCTCTCATTCCCTCTCACCCACTCTCATACGCTCTCATTCCCTCTCACCCACTCTCATACTCTCTCATACGCTCTCATCCACACTCATACGCTCTCATTCCCTCTCACCCACTCTCATACTCTCTCATTCCCTCTCACCCACTCTCATACTCTCTCATACACTCTCATCCACTCTCATCCACTCTCATACGCTCTCAACCCCTCCCATCCCCTCTCATCCCCTCTCATCCCCTCTCACACACTCTCATTCCCTCTCACCCACTCTCAAATGCTCTCATTCCCTCTCACCCACTCTCATACGCTCTCATTCCCTCTCACCCACTCTCATACGCTCTCATTCCCTCTCACCCACTCTCTCACGCTCTCATTCCCTCTCACCCACTCTCATACGCTCTCATTCCCTCTCAACCACTCTCATACTCTCTCATTCCCTCTCACCCACACTCATACGCTCTCATTCCCTCTCACCCACTCTCATACGCTCTCATTCCATCTAACCCACTCTCATACGCTCTCATTCCCTCTAACCCACACTCATACGCTCTCATTCCCTCTCACCCACTCTCATACGCTCTCATTCCCTCTCACCCACTCTCATACGCTCTCATTCCCTCTCACCCGCTCTCATACTCTCTCATTCCCTCTCACCCACTCTCATACTCTCTCATACGCTCTCATCCACTCTCATCCACTCCCATACGCTCTGAACCCCTCCCATCCCCTCTCATCCCCTCTCATCCCCTCTCACACACTCTCATTCCCTCTCACCCACTCTCAAATGCTCTCATTCCCTCTCACCCACTCTCATACGCTCTCATTCCCTCTCACCCACTCTCATACGCTCTCATTCCCTCTCACCCACTCTCATACGCTCTCATTCCCTCTCACCCACTCTCTCACGCTCTCATTCCCTCTCACCCACTCTCATACGCTCTCATTCCCTCTCACCCACTCTCATACTCTCTCATTCCCTCTCACCCACACTCATACGCTCTCATTCCCTCTCACCCACTCTCATACGCTCTCATTCCATCTAACCCACTCTCATACGCTCTCATTCCCTCTCACCCACACTCATACGCTCTCATTCCCTCTCACCCACTCTCATACGCTCTCATTCCCTCTCACCCACTCTCATACGCTCTCATTCCCTCTCACCCACTCTCATACTCTCTCATTCCCTCTCACCCACTCTCATACTCTCTCATACGCTCTCATCCACTCTCATCCACTCTCATACGCTCTCAACCCCTCCCATCCACTCTCATCCCCTCTCATCCCCTCTCATACACTCTCTTTCCCACTCATCCCCTCTCGTCCTATCTCACACACTATCATTCCCTCTCATTCACTCTCATCTACTATCATACACTCATATTCACTCTCATCCACTCTCATCCCCTCTCATCCCCTCTCATCCACTCTCATCCCCTCTCATCCACTCTCGTTCCCCCTCACACACTCTCATTCCCTCTCATACACTCTCGTACCCTCTCACCCACTCTCATACGCTCTCATTCCCTCTCACCCACTCTCATACCCTCTCATTCCCTCTCACCCACTCTCATACGCTCTCATTCCCTCTCACCCACACTCATACCCTCTCATTCCCTCTCACCCACTCTCTTACGCTCTCATTCCCTCTCACCCACTCTCATACGCTCTCATTCCCTCTAACCCACTCTCATACGCTCTCATTCCCTCTCACCCACTCTCATACGCTCTCATTCCCTCTCACCCACTCTCATACGCTCTCATTCCCTCTAACCCACTCTCATACGCTCTCATTCCCTCTCACCCACTCTCATACGCTCTCATTCCCTCTCACCCACTCTCATACGCTCTCATTCCCTCTCACCCACTCTCATACGCTCTCATTCCCTCTCACCCACTCTCATACTCTCTCATTCCCTCTCACCCACTCTCATACTCTCTCATACGCTCTCATCCACTCTCATCCACTCTCATACGCTCTCAACCCCTCCCATCCACTCTCATCCCCTCTCATCCCCTCTCATACACTCTCTTTCCCACTCATCCCCTCTCGTCCTATCTCACACACTATCATTCCCTCTCATTCACTCTCATCTACTATCATACACTCATATTCACTCTCATCCACTCTCATCCCCTCTCATCCCCTCTCATCCACTCTCATCCCCTCTCATCCACTCTCGTTCCCCCTCACACACTCTCATTCCCTCTCATACACTCTCGTACCCTCTCACCCACTCTCATACGCTCTCATTCCCTCTCACCCACTCTCATACCCTCTCATTCCCTCTCACCCACTCTCATACGCTCTCATTCCCTCTCACCCACACTCATACCCTCTCATTCCCTCTCACCCACTCTCTTACGCTCTCATTCCCTCTCACCCACTCTCATACGCTCTCATTCCCTCTAACCCACTCTCATACGCTCTCATTCCCTCTCACCCACTCTCATACGCTCTCATTCCCTCTCACCCACTCTCATACGCTCTCATTCCCTCTAACCCACTCTCATACGCTCTCATTCCCTCTCACCCACTCTCATACGCTCTCATTCCCTCTCACCCACTCTCATACGCTCTCATTCCCTCTCACCCACTCTCATACGCTCTCATCCCTCTCACCCACTCTCATACGCTCTCATTCCCTCTCACCCACTCTCATACGCTCTCATCCCTCTCACCCACTCTCATACGCTCTCATTCCCTCTCACCCACTCTCATACGCTCTCATTCCCTCTCACCCACTCTCTCACGCTCTCATTCCCTCTCACCCACTCTCATACGCTCTCCGTCCCTCTCACCCACTCTCATACCCTCTCATTCCCTCTCACCCACACTCATACGCTCTCATTCCCTCTCACCCACACTCATTCGCTCTCATTCCCTCTCACCCACTCTCATACGCTCTCATTCCCTCTCATCCCCTCTCATCCACTCTCATCCCCTCTCATCCACTCTCGTTCCCCCTCACACACTCTCATTCCCTCTCATACACTCTCGTACCCTCTCACCCACTCTCATACGCTCTCATTCCCTCTCACCCACTCTCATACCCTCTCATTCCCTCTCACCCACTCTCATACGCTCTCATTCCCTCTCACCCACACTCATACCCTCTCATTCCCTCTCACCCACTCTCTTACGCTCTCATTCCCTCTCACCCACTCTCATACGCTCTCATTCCCTCTAACCCACTCTCATACGCTCTCATTCCCTCTCACCCACTCTCATACGCTCTCATTCCCTCTCACCCACTCTCATACGCTCTCATTCCCTCTAACCCACTCTCATACGCTCTCATTCCCTCTCACCCACTCTCATACGCTCTCATTCCCTCTCACCCACTCTCATACGCTCTCATTCCCTCTCACCCACTCTCATACGCTCTCATCCCTCTCACCCACTCTCATACGCTCTCATTCCCTCTCACCCACTCTCATACGCTCTCATCCCTCTCACCCACTCTCATACGCTCTCATTCCCTCTCACCCACTCTCATACGCTCTCATTCCCTCTCACCCACTCTCTCACGCTCTCATTCCCTCTCACCCACTCTCATACGCTCTCCGTCCCTCTCACCCACTCTCATACCCTCTCATTCCCTCTCACCCACACTCATACGCTCTCATTCCCTCTCACCCACACTCATTCGCTCTCATTCCCTCTCACCCACTCTCATACGCTCTCATTCCCTCTCACCCACTCTCATACGCTCTCATTCCCTCTAACCCACTCTCATACGCTCTCATTCCCTCTCACCCACTCTCATACGCTCTCATTCCCTCTCACCCACTCTCATACGCTCTCATTCCCTCTCACCCACTCTCATACGCTCTCATTCCCTCTCACCCACTCTCATACGCTCTCATTCCCTCTCACCCACTCTCATACGCTCTCATTCCCTCTCACCCACTCTCATACGCTCTCATTCCCTCTCACCCACTCTCTCACGCTCTCATTCCCTCTCACCCACTCTCATACGCTCTCATTCCCTCTAACCCACTCTCATACTCTCTCATTCCCTCTCACCCACACTCATACGCTCTCATTCCCTCTCACCCACACTCATACGCTCTCATTCCCTCTCACCCACTCTCATACGCTCTCATTCCATCTAACCCACTCTCATACGCTCTCATTCCCTCTCACCCACTCTCATACGCTCTCATTCCCTCTCACCCACTCTCATACGCTCTCATTCCCTCTCACCCACTCTCATACGCTCTCATTCCCTCTCACCCACTCTCATACTCTCTCATTCCCTCTCACCCACTCTCATACTCTCTCATACGCTCTCATCCACTCTCATCCACTCTCATACGCTCTCAACCCCTCCCATCCACTCTCATCCCCTCTCATCCCCTCTCATACACTCTCATTCCCACTCATCCCCTCTCGTCCTATCTCACACACTATCATTCCCTCTCATTCACTCTCATCTACTATCATACACTCATATTCACTCTCATCCACTCTCATCCCCTCTCATCCCCTCTCATCCACTCTCTTCCCCTCTCATCCACTCTCGTTCCCCCTCACACACTCTCATTCCCTCTCATACACTCTCGTACCCTCTCCTCCACTCACATTCCCTCTCATCCCTTCTCTTCCACTCTCAACCCCTCTCATCCCATCTCTTCCACTCTCATTCCCTCTCATCCCCTCTCCTACACTCTAATTCCCTCTCATTCACTCTCATTCTCTCTCATCCCCTCTCATTCACTCTCATTCCCTCTCCTCCCCTCTCATTCCCTCTCATCCCCTCTCATTCACTTTCATCCCCTCTCATTCCATCTCATACACTCTCATTCCCTCTCATCCCCTCTCATCCCCTCTCGCACACTATCGTTCCCTCTCATCCCCTCTCATTCACGTTCATCCCCTTTCATCCCCTCTTATCCCCTCTCATCCCCTCTCATTCACTCTCATCCCGTCTCCTACACTCTCATACACTCTCATCCCCTCTCATCCCCTCTCATCCCCTCTCACACACTCTCATCCACTCTCATCCCCTCTCATCCACTCTCGTTCCCCCTCACACACTCTCATTCCCTCTCATCCCCCCTCATCCCCTCTCACACACTCTCGTTCCCTCTCATACACTCTCATCCCCTCTCTTCCACTCTCATTCCCCCCCATCCCCTCTCCCACACTCTAACCCACTCTCATACACTCTCATCCCCTCTCATCACCTCTCTGGTCCTGATTCCCCGTTCCTATCATCCCCTCTAATTCCCCGTTATCTTCCTATGCTCATTATCCATCAGACCTCGTGGCACTTGTGATCAGTGTCATGTCTCACCCACTGCAAGCCAGGTGAGGTCTGGCCTATGAATTTAGGGTTGGCCTTTGCAGATCCTCGTGGTTTACAGTGCGTGGGTTCGTACACTCCATTGTAATGCCAAATTTCACTCACAAATTGCAATGTTGTGATGTTGCTTGATCTCTATTTCGTTTGGTGCACTAGTTATGTCGCTGTGCAGGACTTTGACGTATGCAACATATTCAAGGGGAAAGTTTATCCGTCAGCCGCAGAAGCGAGGGAGGATGTTCGGTTGTATTGTCGGCAGAATATGATTAGGGAGTTCTACTATTATAGTCGCAAAGGACTTATCGAGGTACGGTGCAACTCGATGAAGAATTTGAGTTGGGTTGGTCGAGAGGTGAGCAGCAAAGATGAGTTATGTCCCTTCCGCATTGTCATACAAGGGTCCAAAAACAGAACCATGAAGGTCTCGCTAGCTAGCTTGAGGCATGCCGACCTATGTACATCTGGTGCTAGGAGTGTTAGGAAGATAGCTGTCGGAGTGTGTACAAGGGAGATGGCAAATCACCATGACGATGACGGACCCACCAAGAGTGCTGGATATATCGGTGGACGGGCGCGGGTTGAGGACTGCGAAGGACATGGCTGCAAGACACATACTATGCTGGTTGCAGGAGATGGGATGGCGGAAGGAGAAGAGATGAGAGGAGCTTACCTTGTTCATACACCTATGAATGTTACCTAAGGTGACGGTTAGAGGGTGGGTAAATTGGTGTTGGCGGTTATTAGTGGTAGGTGAGACGGTGCCTGTCGATGAGGTACATGGACGATAAGCGTGGTGTTGAGATATTTCCTTGTCACTTTGGACGGTTTAATGCTGGACATAACGAGAGGGCCACCACTACCACTATGAATAGCAGTTGGTATTGCAGTCATATATAATCATCATCTGGTTTACGAATTCGTGATCAACAAGTTGGTGAGAGTGGACTGTTTGCACAAGAGTGCCACACATTTGCCACTCACAGCATTAATGTGTACATGCTAGTCCTCCTCATTGCCCATGACTATCATATGCAAATGCAATACGTTTGCGATCATCTGCGAGCATGTTTCCTAGTAGAAGTGGGCTGGCTTCTCCGTGGGACACAAAGCTGATCAGACCATAAAAAACATGATAGAATTAAGGCGTTGTATGTTATTTTAATACAATCACCACTGCATACTGTCATGCGGGTTCTGAAACATTTATATCAAACACCAGCTCTGCTTTCAGCTATCGCATATGTGCAATACTGCACCGTCCAAAACCATGTGACATACTGTACATACATAATTTGACACATTTACCGTATGTACCATCTAAACCCCTGCAGGGATGGAAGGGAAGTCATGTAGCATCACGCAACTGCCCCACTCACTTTATCGGCCCACAACAAGGTGTCCTCGTATAGGAGGAAACCGAACAACACTTGTGTTTGAGATAAATATGGCAAGTAAAAATTTTGCACACCGAACAACACAAACAATAGAATGATGCAACTAGAAGATGTTAAACATTTTATACTACCTGTTTTAAATGTTAAATATAGGCACCATACACTGACATTGGAGTATTTTGATACCCAAAGCCCCCACCATTCGTGACGTTGCAGAGACAATGTGGGAAATAAAAGAAAAGGACATGTTATCAAACCATGTGCAGAGCGCTCAAGAAGTCAATCATGTATTCAGGAATAATAACATGCATAGCCCACACGTTCTACTGCAAAGAGCTGTTGCTGTTCTCGTATCCCTGTTGGCACGGCGACCTGTTGTGCATACCAGACGCCGACCCCTCGACCTCCCGTTGCAATGGCATGCCCACATGGCTCCAACGTTGCTCCAGACCTGCAACATTCCCATGCATTGGCATTCCCACGCGTCCCCATCGTTGGTTAAGGGCTTGAACGTACCCAAATTGCCCTTGTAACGCATCCTGGGACCCAAGTTGGCCTCTCGTATCCTGTTGCCCTCCCATCCTATGCTGCCCTCCCAACCCCTGCTGCCCTACCAACCCCTGCTGCCCTCCCAACCCCTGCTGCCCTCCCAACCCCGCCTGTCCGCCGCTCCCCTGCTGCCCTGTCATCCCATGCTGCCTTGCCATCCCCTGCTGCCCTCCCAACCCCTGCTGCCCCCCCAACCCCTGCTGCCCTCCCATCCCCTGCTGCCCTCCCAACCCCTGCTCCCTTGTCATCCCATGCTGCCCTGTCATCCCATGCTGCCCTCCCAACCCATGCTGCCCCCCCAACCCCTGCTGCCCTCCCATTCCCTGCTGCCCTCCCAACCCCTGCTCCCCTGTCATCCCATGCTGCCTTGCCATCCCCTGCTGCCCTCCCATCCCCTGCTGCCCTCCCATCCTCTGCTGCCCTCCCAACCCCGCCTGTCCGCTGCTCCCCTGCTGCCCTGTCATCCCATGCTGCCTTGCCATCCCCTGCTGCCCTCCCATCCGCTGCCGCCCTCCCAACCCTGCCTGTCCGCCGCTCCCCTGCTGCCAGGCCATCCCCTGCTGCCTTGCCATCCCCTGCTGCCCTCGCAACCCCGGGTGTCCTCCCATCCCCTGCTGCCCTCTCAACCCCTGCTGACCTTCCATCCCTTCCAATCCGCTCCCACCATTTTGTTCCAACCGTTCAGCTCCTCCCTGCTGTTCCGTGGTAGACCAAGATCCATATCTGCCTCTGCCTCTCCCTCTCCCTCTTCCCCGTTCTCCTCGGCTTGCATTGCGTCCCCTGCCTCTGCCCCTACCTTCAGTTGTTGCACGTTCCTCTCATGCCTGTCTTGCCACATCACGCTGCAGGAGTAATCCCTGCATCCGCCGTATACGCCCTGCAACCACGTCCTCCGCAGTCCTCAACCCTTCCACCCGCTCGGCCACCGAAGTATTCGACACTCGTCCCGCCTGACTCTCTTGGGTGATGTCTATCTGTGTCCCCGCCGAATTATATGTTTGAGTGGGCAAGTCTGAGTTCGTGGTTGTGCGTTCACCAAGACCAACATCACCGGCAGTTCCGGGATCCCTACCAAACACCTCGACCAGCGCCCCACCATATGTCACGGCATCACGATCATCCCGTCCCTCCTCATCCACTTCACCAATCCCTTCAACCAAACCGACACTCCCATCATCCTCGCTGCATGACTCCTCCTCCACATCACCTGGCTGTCCTTGTCTACGCATGGCTTGACACCTAATCCCTCTGCGGTGCGTTCGGTTGCAAGCGTTGCACAGGGCTACATGCACTGCACCATCTGCGTCCGTCATTGTTTGCACTGACAATTGCCCTGCGGGGGTTTGTAAAGCTTCCCACAACACTCTGTTGGCTGCACGGACCTCGCAAGTTCGGGCATTATGACCGTACTCACCGCACTTTCCACACTTGCGCAACTTGATTGGGTCCATCTCTCCTGTGGACCGCATTCTACGCTTTGGTGGCCGACCGGCCTTCTTCTTGTAGACCGGAGGGAGGGTAACGCCGTCAGGGACCACAGAGGTTGGGTCGAGAAGTCGGATCGGCGTTCTGTACACTTGTTGCAGTGCTGAAGTTGTGTGATATTTCTGGATCACTGCGTGCGCCCTCTGAGCATCATTTTTGAACACGGCAAAGATGTGTACGCATGGCAGCCCGTATTCCCTGTTTTTGGGATAAATGGGCGAAGAGGTAAAAAGGGATTAACGCATGACTGAAACCAGCAGGAATAGCTAAAACCTGCAGGATTTCATCACACACATGAACACATGGCTTAAAGAAGCCCACATTCAGCAAATATGATTACGGCAAGCATATGTACACACGACACTTTGGCGACCTTATGCCCCTGCATGGGCAAGGTGGAGGGATAGGGAAGGTTCTTTGAGTTGTAGGCAACTAGACATTTCAGTTTAATTCGCATATCGCCATATTCCCCATGTCGCACGGGGAAGGCTCGTGATAAATGGGACAAATGGGCATTAAGTTAGAGAGGTATAACGTAGGAGAAAATGGGCATAAGGTTGTAGACAACATGATAATAGCAGCAGGAACGAGATTACATGGCTCTTAGGCTGCCCCAAATACCACTGATGTTGGGATGAATGGGCAGGAAAGGGGATTTCATAAGTTACGCAGACCTATTATGATAACTGGGGGCTAAAATTTAGAGTGGGTACAATATGAGGGTTGATCTTGCATGACATTTGGGAAGCTGATGAACACAATATTCAAGTATACACCAGTGAAACATACGCTATCAGTGCTAAAAACAGAACCTAAAAACCACTTACTTGGTGTAGCCACATGAGCAGCGGGTGTCTGCAGGATCCTCGGGGTTTGTGGTCACGACTCGCCTCTCGTCCCCTTGGCGTACTATGTACTCGTGTTCCCCCGATTCAGCCACCCTGTATCTTTTGCCCTCATCGCGATTCCCAATGACTATTGGCTTTGTCCTGGGAGGGAAGTCAGCAACTGTCATCTCGGAGTATAATTGGCGCCTCTCTTTGATCTTCGTCGATAACTTATCTGCCAAGCCTAGCAGCACCGGCGGCGGACTCTTATCCCGCAATCCCGAAAGCGACGCATGGTGAGACTCAACGGGATTGGAAGACAAGCAACCGTAACGCGGTGCTCCAAAATAAGCTGTCGCCCACTTAACACCCAACGCATTGTCCACAAGGTACGAGGATCCACCGGGACATTCCATCTCAATTTTTTCCATTGTCTTGAGGTACACAAGCTCCGTCAGAGCCGCGGCAGCTGCAAGAATTCGTCCGTCCAGATCTGTCCTGAACTTGTTTTTGAAGTTTCGAACCAAATGGGTGATGCAAAAAGACTCCCGTACAAGGGGGAGACAAGTGGATGTGGCGGATATCCATGCCCCTCCCCTATCATGCATCATGACAAAGTCGGAGGAGTTCACCTCCGGAACGGCCTCCAGCAGGAGATTGAATAGGAAGGCGCATGCATGCTTGTTTTCCCCCTCTACCCATGCACATCCCAACATAACAAGTTTGTGTTGGCTATCCAACATGCATATGTTCAAGGTGTATCCCCCCCATGCGGTCTTATTATGACATCCATCCGCAAAAATGATGGGCAGGCAGTTCATGACCGCATCTCTCGCCCCTGGAAATATAATTCCTGCACGGTAGAAGTGATTTCCCCGCCTGACCATGGACACGACAGATGAGGGGTTTTTATCCTTGAACTTTCCTAACAGGTCCTCCATGTATTGAAATCCATCGTCTCCACAAAACGGATCCGCATTCCTCAGCTCAAAGAGCACCTCGCGCGCAACCGTGTACGAGCACTCCACACGTAAAACCGCCCTAACACGACTCATCAGCGCATGAGGTCTCACGTCGCCATGCTTTAGCATCTCACGCGCAACCTCTTTGACCTCATCCCTCCGAATCCTTGCAGCTTCGGTGACACACCTATCGGCGTGATCCAAATCAGCCACCGTGACCCGCAGGTTACTATAGCGCGGTCCCCGCATGACAACACGGAATGGACACATCCCTTCTCCGATGTGCACCTCCCCACGAGGCCATACCTTGCCCTCCATGGACTTGCACCACACCTCAATGAGATTCGACCGATTATAGCGGAAATAGGGAGCAAACGTCTGCTGCCTACAGTACAACCGCACCTCCTCCCTTGCTGCTACAGCAGTTGGGTAGAGCTTCCCCTTGTAAATGTTGACAGCATCATCTTCCTGCACATCAAAATTGCTACAGGACCAAAAGATAACGGATGGAGGGATACCACACGGAAGTTTGCAAGTTATCTTATACAATTCTTGTTTGGAAATGAACGATGGCTGATGTTAACAATGCCCTTTAGCTAGTTTGGACAATAAGACCATGCGGATTCAACATGTGTATTCAACCTCAGCCTCTCACCTTGAACGTATGAGGCGAAACATGTTGTTCCTCACGACCGCCTCAAGCTCTGTTGGACAATAAGACCATGCGGATATAAGGTGTAGTATTGTGCATAAGAGAGAATGGAAGGGGGAAAATTGAGAGCGTTTCAAGAGTTAGGGGACAAGAGAGAATGTCACACAGTCAAGAGAGTGTATGAGAGCGTATGAGAGGGGATGAGAGGGGATGAGAGGGGATGAGAGGGAAAGAGAGGGAATGAGAGGGAATGAGAGGGAATGAGAGTGAATGAGAGGGGATGAGAGGGAACGGGAGTAAGTGTACGGGGATGAGAGGGGATGAGTGTGTATGAGAGGGGATGAGAGTGTATGAGAGGGGCTGAGAAGGGATAAGAGGGGATGAGTGTGAATGAGAGTGTATGGAAGTGTATGAGAGTGGATGAGAGTGGATTAGGGGGTATGAGTGTGTATGAGAGGGGATGAGAGTGTTTAAGAGTGTATGATAGTGCATGAGAGAGGATGAGAGGAGTTGAGAGTGTATGAGAGTGGATGAGGAGGGATGAGAGTGTGTAAGAGAGTGTATGAGAGTGTGTGAGAGGGGATGAGAGGGGATGAGAGGGGATGACCAGGGATGAGAGTGCACGAGAGTGAAAGGGAGTGTATGAGAGTGTATGAGTGTGTACGGGAGTGTATAAGAGGGGATGAGAGTGCATATGATAGTGTATGAGTTGGTATGAGTGGGTACGAGAGTGTATGAGAGTGTATGAGAGGGAATGAGATGGGATGAGAGGGGATGAGAGGGGATGAGAGTGAATGAGAGTGTATGATAAGGGATGATGAGAGTGTATGAGAGTTTAGGAGAGTGGATGAGAGTGGTTGAGAGTGTATGAGAGTGTATGTGAGGGGATGAGAGTGTATGAGAGTGTATGAGAGTGAACGAGAGGGGATGTGAAGGGATGAGAGGGGATGAGAGTATATGAGAGGGGATGAGAGTGTGTGAGATAGGATGAGAACGGATGATAGGAAATGAGTGTGTATGAGAGTGAATGGGTGTGTATGAGGGGATGGGAGTGTATGAGAGTGAGTGTAGGAGATTGAATGAGAGTGGTTGAGAGTGTATGAGAGTGTATGAGAGGGGATGAGAGTGTATAAGAGTATATGAGAAGGGATGAGAGTGTATGAGTGTGTACGGGAGAGTATGACGGGATGATAGTGTATATGATAGTGTATGGGAGGGTATGAGAGTGTACAAGAGTGTATGAGAGTGTATGAGAGGGGATGAGTGTGTATGAGAGGGGATGAGAGTGTATGAGAGGGGATGTGAGGGGATAAGAGGGGATGAGTGTGAATGAGAGTGTATGGAAGTGTATGAGAGTGGATGAGAGCGGATTAGGGGGTATGAGTGTGTATGAGAGGGGCTGAGAGTGTATAAGGGTGTATGTGAGTGTATGAGAGTGTATGAGAGGGGATGAGTGTATATGAGAGGGGATGAGAGTGTATGAGAGGGGATGTGAGGGGATAAGAGGGGATGAGTGTGAATGAGAGTGTATGGAAGTGTATGAGAGTGGATGAGTGCGGATTAGGGGGTATGAGTGTGTATGAGAGGGGATGAGAGTGTATCAGACAGTGGATGAGAGGGGATGAGAGTGAATAAGGGTGTATGTGAGTGTATGAGAGAGGATGAGAGGGGATGAGAGTGTATGAGAGGGGATAAGAGGGGATGGGTGTGAATGAGAGTGTATGGAAGTGTATGAGAGTGGATGAGAGCGGATTAGGGGGTATGAGTGTGTATGAGAGGGGCT